ACCTTCCAAGCAGAGCTCCCAAGCCGAGAAGGGTGACTCTGCAGCACACAGATACCCAGCCTTCCTCCAGCCGATGCCCCGGGAAGGGTCCCCAGCACAGCCGAGAGCCGGCAGAGTGGCGCTCGGCCCCTCACCTTTCAAGGCGGCGGGCAGCACGGTGTTCTCCAGGTTCACATCTGGTCTGATGATGATGCAGACCCCGCCATCATTCCCGGCGCTGGAGCTCGAGGTTGCTGCCAGGGCTGAAATCTCGACTGCAGCAGCTGGGTGGAACAAAAAAGCACGACTCGGGCAATTCGCAAAGTGACTCGCAGCTTGCAAACGTTTCAAAATTCACCTGAGATGGGACAAGTCCCACCTGACACGGTCCAGTGCGGGCACACTGACTGGTCATGAAGCAGAGCAAAACAGTTTCCACTGCAAGCCTTTCTTTGCACGGCCCTCCCAAAGACCTTGTGCCTTCAGACCAGCTTTCCCCAAACGTCCCTCGGTCAAAGCTTCCAGACTTCCCAGGTGGCGACCAAACGCCCCGGGACAGAAAGCAGCAGCATTGCTGCCTTCGACAGCGCTACCTCCGCAGCCAGGGAAATTGCCGGTGATAACGCAAAACGTCACGTCAGTCCTGGCAGTTCCCAAGGCCACGGCACTCTGGCTGGCATTGCGCTCTCAGTGGGGTTTGTTCTCAAGCGAGCTGGTGTTTGGCTAAGGTAGGTTACGTGCCCATTAGAATGCCTAAACCCACCAGAAACACACGTGCTCCGGAAGGATTTCCCCTCTGCTTTTAAGCCCCTCACAACCCCCCCACCCCGAGAATTTAGGCCCCTTCAAGCCACCAGAACTCGCTAGCCCCCGCTTTGGCTGTCCCAACAGCAAGGCACGCGGGAGCCCACACCTCCGCCGGACCAAGTTCCGCACCGCTGCGAGATCCGACTCTGCCCAAATCCACGGGGGAATGACGGGGCAAGGCCGTTCTGTGCAACAACTCGCTAGTCAGCGGCAAAGGTGCTTACCGACGAGGCTCTCCCAGTCGTCCTCTGCTTTTTCACCCGGCCTCCGGGTGCGGAACAAGAGCGTGTCGTTGCAACGAAGGCAGCGCAGCAGCTCCTCACAGTAATATGGGATCCCCGAGCTTCTTTGGAGCAGGAACCTGGACAGGAACAGACCCAGCAGTGACCAGCACAAGGAAAGTAAGGTGAAACGCAGTTCAGGTGGGCGCCAAGTCACTTGGGCATGACAGGGTAGCCAGCATCCTTGTCACAGCTACACCTCACTTTTGAAAGGCACGGTCCTCCCGCTGGCTTGGGCTTTCGCACCCCCCCTGAACCTCCAGCCTTCGCTGAAGTCCGTGGAAAAAGAACTGCGCGCAATGCCCAAAGCCCAGAGCGCCGAGCCCTGCCTTTCCTCTCCTCAGGAGCCTAGATCCTCTCCGGCAGCAGGGTGGACCTCTGCCCCTGGGAATCTCCCCCACGGCCTGGACACCTAGACCAAGGCTTTTTCACACCCCAGCCAGGCTTGGGCTCGGGACTCTTCCTCCCTGTGCGACAGCGAAGGGCTGACACCTCCCACGCTCTCTGTCTAGGGAGCTGCCCGCTCTCAGCTCACATCTGCCAGGGTGAGGCGTAACGAGCAACCCACATCTGGTACTCGCTGGAGTCCGTGATGCTTCTAGCAGCCTCGCGTTCCCTTTCCTGGGGGGTTGATTCCCTTCCGTGATCTGCAGAGGTTCAAGCCTTCAGGAAGAGCTCCCCTGCCTCGAACTTACCTCGCTAAATCCCTGGGGATGCTGACCACTCCAAGGTCCTGGCAGACTTTCTGCACCACAGCTGAAGGTTTCAGCTCATCCAGATGAAGATAGGTGATTTTCTGGGACGTCGTGTTGGCTGCTGCAGCTTTGCAAAAACTCTCTGTTCTCGCATAGCCCGGAGCTAGGCTCGTGACCATGAAGAAGGAGACATTTTGGAGCACGGGTGACATGATGCTCCAGGAGGCAGGGTCGATGAAATGGGCGTTGTCGATGACAAATATGCCAAAGTCGCTTCCGATGGCCTGGAAAAAAAAATTAAAAAAAGCAGGTTGTTCTGAGGGAAATCCGGTGGATTCTCAAGTGTCTTCCAGGGGAGGAGATTTAGCCTCTGTCTCTCTTGAGGATGCTCTGCAGTTTCTCCCCACCACTCCCCTGCTCAGAAGCTTACTGGCTCTCAATTTCTTTGAGACTTTAGGGTCACACCTAACATCACTTGCCCTGCAGAAGGAGGGAGCTTGGGCAAGAGAAGGCAGAAGACATTGTTCCTCCTCCAGGGCAGACTTTACGGGAGGGAAGTTACTGGGTGCGTTTGCTGGGCTGCAAGGAGGAGGTAGAGAGTGTGTGTGTGTGGGGGGTGGTTCTCAAGCCCTGAAGGGCGATGACCCAGGCATGTGGTCCTCCTCCTGCCCGCTCACACTGCTGTGGTGCAGAGCCCGCAGCCGGGAGGGTTGTTTTCCTTCTCTGACCCAGGAGGAGGGAAGGAGAAATGCTCACCTTCTCTAGCACTTTTGCCCAAGCCGAACGCAATTCCCTTTTTCTTTGAGTTTCACGCATCTTGCGAACCTTGTCCGAAACGGGAAACTGGCCGGAAAAGCAAAGTCAGGGAGAAACATCGCTCCAGGGCTAGACGCACCTACCCACCAAGCAAGACCGCAGAGCGAACTGCCTCTGCTGGCCTCAGCACCGTACCTCTGCCCCAGGCAGCTGCAAGGAGCCACAGTGGGGACTTCACCCGGAGCCAAAAGCAGAGGCCCTCTGGAGAGGGTCTGGGCAGAGCTGGGGCTTGGGGAACCAGCTGAAGAGCTGGTTCTCTGGCTGTGGGAATCTTGGGCTGGCTGGAGCAGACCACTCACACAGCACGAGCTCACCTTCTCTATCTCTATCTCTCCGGTGCCACTTCCAGGGTGCTGAAGAAGGCACCGGGTACCGCGGGATGCAGCGCGGGACATGAACTCAGCACAGAGAGGGAGGCTCCCCCCAGGCCCGGGAATGGGAAACGTGTGCTCTGACGCCTGCGATTCCCACCCCTGAGCTAAGGCACTCCCAGCAGTGTGCCCACAGGACGTCAGACCCAGAAAAGGTCACGAGAAGGCCTTCTCCAGGGCCAGAGTGGCCTCTCGCTCTCACCTTGACAAGGAAAACGTCATTGAGGAGGCAATAGCCGCTCTCTTCGATTGTCCCTCGGAGCTTTGTCTGCAGCTCGCGCTGCCTGGCACTGCACGATTCGCACTCCTGGAGGCCCAGGGCCCTGGCCATCAGCGCACAGAGGGCAGAGAAGGACTGCCTCATGTCGAGCTCTAGCAGTTCCACGGCAACTACCCTGCCGTGCAAAAGCAAAAGGGACCGAGATCCCCAACAGCCCCAGCCTTCTAAGGCAAAAGGGGTGGACGTGCCCTCGGCGGGGGAGGTCTCTTCAGCCACCCATCCCAAAGTGCTTCCCAGGGAAAGCCAAGCTTTTCACTCCTCCTACGAGAAAGGGCACAGAGGGGCAGTTGCTGCCAAGCCACTGGGAGAGCCGGGTCCAGACCCTGTGTCCCCGCAGCACCCTGCGTCTCCCAGGTCTCGCTACGTGCCCCCTGCAAAGGAACTCACGGGGCTAAGAGGCAAGGATGGAGCGAATGGTGAGTTCGCCTTTGGGCTCCAGACCTTAGCAGTCTGCCTCCCAGAGCACACGAAGGCTTTTCTGTCCCAGTGCTGCTTCTGGGAAGCATGCAGAGGGCAAGCAGGGCTTCTAAAACAGGCCACTCCACTGTTTGTTGGGTCTGGGGTCAGGCGAGCAGCAACTGAGCTTGGGCTCTTTCCTTCTATCTGTTCCTGGCCCGGAGGTGAAGGAGGAAAGGCCATGGCTCAAGAAACCACCTCCACCTCCCCGAAGAGGCAGAGGCAGGAGCAGAGCCGGCAGGAGCTCCTAGGGAGCGTCTCCAGGAGGCTTTCCGGGGGAGGCTGCAGTCCAAGGGCCGGGAGCACTGGCGGAGGGGCTGGAGCGTTCCGTGGCTCTCAGGGGATGGGCAGGGGCAGTCCCCAAAGCTACAGGTCGAAAATCTGTACCTGTGGCCAGCAGCCTGGCCTAAATAGGCCAGTTCAGTAAGTAAGTGGCTCTTGCCGGAGCCCATCGTGCCTTCAAATGCCAGGACGTGCCTTCGTCCTAAATCCTTATAGGCTTTCAAGCAGCTGGCAAAGAGGTCAAGCTCCTTCTCCCGACCTGTGAAGGCAAACAAGAAAATGAGCCGCTGGGGCGTGCTGGCACCCTCCACCGCAGCTTCCCTCCCTGCCACCACATCTGCCAGCCTGCCGACGCTCAGGCCTTCTTCCCGCCCGCTCACTCATCCCAGCTTTTGCACCTCTACCATCGGCAGAGCCGCAGCGGACCCGCC